AACACATATTTGTGTGTATACTACAGGAATACCAGTCTAAGTACACTTAGGCTCAGTATTTTTCGTTACACTGCTATAATGATATCAGTGTAACGAAAACTACTGAGCCTAAGTTTACTTAAACTGCAGGAATACGTGCATATATATGGTTGTAAAATAAAAACAGCGTACACAGCCAAGCTGATATGTGATTGCTGAAACACGATTTAGAAAATGTTTATGACTTCTTATAACTCTGGACCTCAAACGAACCGCAAACCATTGTGTTTCTGTGGATGAAACAGAAATTCCAAATGCAAGATGAATGCTTATCAGAATAGTGTTTATCATTTATTGTTTATTCTATTGTGTATTTGTCGCCCTTTGAGCCAAGTCAAAAAAAGCAAATCAACGGGGCTTAATTAGCAAGGGCGAGTGTAATATTCGGGACCCAATAGACCGGCGTTTTGTTATTACTGTCTGTATTGTTGCATTGACAGATGTATTTGCCGTTACCAGTATTGTCGTGAAACAATTACAACGACCTTCGCCCTTCCCGCCTTTCTTTACCTGGTGTCGTCTGCTTCTGCCACCATCTTTGTTCTACTTGAGTCGGACCACCCATCTCGTGACTTCGACACCACGTCGTAATAACATCTCACGCATTCCTAATATCTTCAATATTGGTCTGCACATTCACAAAATAATTATACATGCAGTGACAATCTGAGAATGGAAGCACAGAGTCACGAAAATATCGTCTGCTCGTCGTCAGGTTGACAGAACGGAAACAAAGGTCGTATAGCTGGGTCGGAGGTTTGAGGACGGGAGTCACATTTGCAATCTGTAGATTTCCGGGCTTAGATGACCCGGCTGATCATAATTCTCGGGGAATTTCTGAATAGTCAAGTATCAGGAGAGGGGCGTGCTCCTACATTGGTTGCAAATACCATCCATAATTACCCTTTGCCTTTCAATGAGATCCGCTGTTGACAATCAATGCAACAGTGGGTCTGTGTTTGACAAGCAATACCTGAATACAATCGTTACTGGGATTCGACACTCGAACAAAACTATGCTCATGGCATCTGCGACAATTCAATTTAATGGGTCATGAGGTCAGAATTAAACAATTTGTAAGGAAATTGAATCTTGCATGGTTAAGATGTACAAAGGGTTGTTTGTGAGGGATCATAGCGCCTAAGTGATGTATAAGTCACACTTCATGATTTTGATGCTATTCGTCATGAATACATGACACTTTTCTGTGCATAATAACTTTATTTTTTTGTAACAATGTCTGAGGGTTGTTTCTTATCCCTTCATCAGGACCTAATACATCTTGCCCCTTATCATTTCAATACGTATCGAGGATACGCCTTGTCCCTTCATCGAGTTAACACTTATCATCAATACGCCTTGCCGCTTCAGTGGGTGAAACAGTTTAATCTACTTCCTTCACCTTCATCGGGTGACTACGTTTCAGTGCTGCGTCTCGTCCTTTCATCGGATGATTACGTAACAGAAAAACGCCTTGCCCCTTCATCGGGTGAATACGTATCAGTGCAACTCCTCCATAATGGGGTGAATACGTATTAGTACTACGTCTTGCCATTCACCGGGTGAATAGGTATTAGTACTATGCCCTGCCCTTCATCGGATGAATACGTATCAGGGATACGCCTTGCCCCTTCATCGGGTGAATACGTATCAGGGATACGCCTTGCCCCTTCATCGGGTGAATACGTATCAAGGATACGCCTTGCCCCTTCATCGGGTGAATACGTATCAGGGATACGCCTTTCCCCTTCATCGGGGGAATACGTAACAGGGATACGCCTTGCCCCTTCATCGGGTGAATACGTATCAAGGACACGCCTTTCCCCTTCATCGGGTGAATACGTATCAGGGATACGCCTCGCCCCTTCATCGGGTGAATACGTATCAGGGATATGCCTTGCCCCTTAATCGGGTGAATACGTATCAAGGATATGCCTTGCCCCTTAATCGGGCGAATACGTAACAGGAATACGCCTTGTCCCTTCATCGGGTGAATACGTATAGGGGATACGCCTTGCCCCTTCATAGGGTGAATACGTATCAGGGATACGCCCTTGTCCCTTCATCGGGTGAATACGTATCAAGGATACGCCTTGTCCCTTCATCGGGTGAATACGTATCAAGGATACGCCTTGCCCCTTCATCGGGTGAATACGTAACAGGGATACGCCTTGCCCCTTCATCGGGTGAATACGTATCAAGGATACGCCTTGCCCCTTCATCGGGTGAATACGTATCAAGGATACGCCTTGCCCCTTCATCGGGGAATACGTATCAGGGATACGCCTTGCCCCTTCATCGGGTGAATACGTATCAAGGATACGCCTTTCCCCTTCATCGGGTGAATACGTATCAGGGATACGCCTTGCCCCTTCATCGGATGAATACGTATCAGGGATATGCCTTGCCCCTTAATCGGGTGAATACGTATCAAGGATATGCCTTGCCCCTTCATCGGGTGAATACGTAACAGGAATACGCCTTGTCCCTTCATCGGGTGAATACGTATAGGGGATACGCCTTGCCCCTTCATCGGGTGAATACGTATCAGGGATACGCCTTGTCCATTCATCGGGTGAATACGTATCAGGGATACGCCTTGCCCCTTCATCGGGTGAATACGTATCAAGGATACGCCTTGTCCATTCATCGGGTGAATACGTATCAAGGATACGCCTTGCCCCTTCATCGGGTGAATACGTATCAGGGATACGCCTTTCCCCTTCATCGGGTGAATACGTAACAGGGATACGCCTTGCCCCTTCATCGGGTGAATACGTATCAAGGACACGCCTTTCCCCTTCATCGGGTGAATACGTATCAGGGATACGCCTCGCCCCTTCATCGGGTGAATACGTATCAGGGATATGCCTTGCCCCTTAATCGGGTGAATACGTATCAAGGATATGCCTTGCCCCTTAATCGGGCGAATACGTAACAGGAATACGCCTTGTCCCTTCATCGGGTGAATACGTATAGGGGATACGCCTTGCCCCTTCATAGGGTGAATACGTATCAGGGATACGCCCTTGTCCCTTCATCGGGTGAATACGTATCAAGGATACGCCTTTCCCCTTCATCGGGTGAATACGTATCAGGGATACGCCTTGCCCCTTCATCGGATGAATACGTATCAGGGATATGCCTTGCCCCTTAATCGGGTGAATACGTATCAAGGATATGCCTTGCCCCTTCATCGGGTGAATACGTAACAGGAATACGCCTTGTCCCTTCATCGGGTGAATACGTATAGGGGATACGCCTTGTCCCTTCATCGGGTGAATACGTATCAAGGATACGCCTTGTCCCTTCATCGGGTGAATACGTATCAGGGATAGGCCTTGCCCCTTCATCGGGTGAATACGTACCAGGGATACGCCTTGTCCCTTCATCGGGTGAATACGTATCAAGTATACGCCTTGTCCCTTCATCGGGTGAATACGTACCAGGGATACGCCTTGCCCCTTCATCGGATGAATACGTATCAGGGATACGTCTTGTCCATTCATCGGGTGAATACGTATCAGGAATACGGGTTGCCCCTTCATCGGGTGAATACGTAACAGGGATACGCCTTACCCCTTCATCGGGTGAATACGTATCAAGGATACGCCTTGCCCCTTCATCGGGTGAATACGTATCAAGGATACGCCTTGCCCCTTCATCGGGGGAATACGTATCAGGGATACGCCTTGCCCCTTCATCGGGTGAATACGTATCAAGGATACGCCTTTCCCCTTCATCGGGTGAATACGTATCAGGGATACGCCTTGCCCCTTCACCGGGTGAATACGTATCAGGGATATGCCTTGCCCCTTAATCGGGTGAATACGTATCAAGGATATGCCTTGCCCCTTCATCGGGTGAATACGTAACAGGAATACGCCTTGTCCCTTCATCGGGTGAATACGTATAGGGATACGCCTTGCCCCTTCATCGGGTGAATACGTATCAGGGATACGCCTTGTCCATTCATCGGGTGAATACGTATCAGGGATACGCCTTGCCCCTTCATCGGGTGAATACGTATCAAGGATACGCCTTGTCCATTCATCGGGTGAATACGTATCAAGGATACGCCTTGCCCCTTCATCGGGTGAATACGTAACAGGGATACGCCTTGTCCCTTCATCGGGTGAATACGTATCAAGGATACGCCTTGTCCCTTCATCGGGTGAATACGTACCAGGGATACGCCTTGCCCCTTCATCGGGTGAATAGGCATCACTGCTTCTTCTTGCCCCTTCATCGGGGACAATGTCTCGGGTTTTAATCGGGGATACGTCTTGTCCATTTATAACGTGTTTACGTGGTGAAGTGGCAAAAAGTAGCTCTGAAACGCCAAAGAATAGAAAGTAGTGTATGTTTACTTAAATAACATCTTAGTGCCTTTCAAAGACGGGATTCACTGAACTCACAAGCACGCTATAGACACATGTAAGTATGTGAGTAGGCACTGAAGGCGTCTATGTGCGTGTTGTAAAAAGACAAAACAACATTTGTACAACAAGCTGAACTGCAGTAATACAGTGAAACTCTAGTTATTTCCATTGCCTTAATCTAGACCTCATATTTCGGACAAGCGGTGTAAGGCCGGAACGTTCACGTATATCGATTAATCGTCAACAATGCCTCCCTAGTGTTGGTGGTTGTACTCAGTCTTCAGCCACCCATAATGGCCGAAACGACGAGGGTGGTCAGGCTCGCTAACTTGGTGGATTCAATCCTTCATTCGTGTCATCGTTTCCCATTTGCTTAGAACGATGCTTATGATGTGATATTGTCTGATCCAGACTCGATTGTTTACATACCGACGCCATATAGCTGGAGTGAGTGAATGAGTTTGGTTTTACGTCGCTTTTAGCAATATTCCAGCAATGTCACTGCATAGGACACCAGAAATAGGATTCACACATTGTACCCATGTGGGGCATCGAACCCGGATCTTCGGCGTGATCACTATGCGTAAATCCGGAAACGTAATCCGTCGAGTTCTGATTCGAGAGGCGTCCATGACAGACACTACCCACTACTGAGGAAACCCAGACATTCAGTTTACTTTGAAAAGATCCAGACTTTTAAAAATCCAGGAAACACCCATGCTATATATCTTGTAAACCACAAACCCAAACCGAAAGTATAAAGTTTACTTGCTCTGAAATATATGTAGCAGAATTCAGCTGAAATTTGAGATCAGACTTGTGGCTGATCAGCTGGGAGATGTCGGGAGTGGAGTCGACAATAGAAGCCTGTTCAGGGTCACCTCAAACACGCCCTTGACCTTTGTTTCCAGACGTTGCTTTCCTCACACCACCGTTGGTGTTGTTGATGTTATCCAAGAGGAAATTGTGAGGGGCTGGTGTTCACGAGTTGCAGCTACAGGTCCAACTGCCATTGAGAAATGTTGCTTCAAGATACTATCACCAATACCACATTACGACGGCTTGTAACCATAGAGACTGAACAGGCAAACAAATGGTAGATTGCATGAAAACCAATTCACTTGTCGGGATACGATAACATACCGTAAGCCGGCTCCGTCATACAAAAGTTCAGAGTGAGTGAGTGAGTTTAGTTTTACGCCACATTCAGCAATATTCCAGTTATATGGCGGCGGTCTGTGAATAATCGAGTCAGGACCAGACAATCCAGTGATCAACAGCATGAGCATCGAACTACGCAATTGGGATACGATGACATGTGTCAGAAAGGTCAGCGAGCCTGACCACCCGATCCTGTTTATCGCCTCTTACGACAACATGGGTTACTGAAGATCAATTCTACCCCGGACCTTCACGGGTCTTAACCGATAATAAGAAAAAAGAGTTTAAAAAAACCATATAAACAAACTAAGTAAAGCAAACGCAATGTTAAAGCAAATCCTTTGAATCCTATCACCTGTATCAAAGATCGGAAGCGTACAATGTCAGGCAATGTACCAGTTTTAATTCGGTGCCTTGAATCGGGATGCCACAGCATAACATAACGTATCGACACTTTAAAACATATAAAGGTGTCTTACATGCTGATTTTATGCAGACAAAACACATAAACCAACACGCATTTCAATGTATTCAGAATATAAACGTTCAAAAGAGTCTGGCCATTGCAACCAAATATATGTATATATGGCGACAGCGTGTAACAACGAATACAAAATAGAGAAACTGTGGCGACAAGAGTTAAAGGGGAGGCGACAAGAGTTAAAGGTGAGGCTACAAGAGTTAAAGGTGAGGCGACAAGAGTTGAAGGTGAGGCCATAAGAGTTAAAGGTGAGGCTACAAGAGTTGAAGGTGAGGCGACAAGAGTTGAAGGTGAGGTGGCAAGAGTTAAAGGTGAGGCGACAAGAGTTGAAAGTGAGGCTACAAGAGTTGAAAGTGAGGCTACAAGAGTTGAAGGTGAGGCGACAAGAGTTGAAGGTGAGGCGACAAGAGTTGAAAGTGAGGCTACAAGAGTTAAAGGTGAGGCTACAAGAGTTAAAGGTGAGGCTACAAGAGTTGAAAGTGAGGCGACAAGAGTTGAAAGTGAGGCGACAAGAGTTGAAGGTGAGGCGACAAGAGTTGAAGGTGAGGCTACAAGAGTTGAAGGTGAGGCTACAAGAGTTGAAGGTGAGGCGACAAGAGTTAAAGGTGAGGCTACAAGAGTTAAAGGTGAGGCTACAAGAGTTAAAGGTGAGGCGACAAGAGTTAAAGGTGAGGCGACAAGAGTTAAAGGTGAGGCGACAAGAGTTGAAGGTGAGGCTACAAGAGTTAAAAGTGAGGCTACAAGAGTTAAAGGTGAGGCTACAAGAGTTGAAGGTGAGGCTACAAGAGTTGAAGGTGAGGCGGCAAGAGTTAAAGGTGAGGCGACAAGAGTTGAAGGTGAGGCGGCAAGAGTTGAAGGTGAGGCGGCAAGAGTTAAAGGTGAGGCGACAAGAGTTGAAGATGAGGCGACAAGAGTTGAAGGTGAGGCTACAAGAGTTAAAGGTGAGGCTACAAGAGTTGAAAGTGAGGCTACAAGAGTTGAAGGTGAGGCTACAAGAGTTGAAGGTGAGGCTACAAGAGTTGAAGGTGAGGCGACAAGAGTTGAAGGTGAGGCGACAAGAGTTAAAGGTGAGGATACAAGAGTTAAAGGTGAGGCGACAAGAGTTAAAGGTGAGGCGACAAGAGTTAAAGGTGAGGCGACAAGAGTTGAAGGTGAGGCTACAAGAGTTGAAGGTGAGGCTACAAGAGTTAAAAGTGAGGCTACAAGAGTTAAAGGTGAGGCGGCAAGAGTTGAAGGTGAGGCGGCAAGAGTTGAAGGTGAGGTGGCAAGAGTTAAAGGTGAGGCGACAAGAGTTAAAGGTGAGGCTACAAGAGTTAAAGGTGAGGCTACAAGAGTTGAAGGTGAGGCGACAAGAGTTAAAAGTGAGGCGACAAGAGTTGAAGGTGAGGCTACAAGAGTTAAAGGTGAGGCGACAAGAGTTGAAGGTGAGGCGACAAGAGTTAAAGGTGAGGCTACAAGAGTTAAAGGTGAGGCTACAAGAGTTGAAGGTGAGGCGGCAAGAGTTAAAGGTGAGGCGACAAGAGTTGAAGGTGAGGCTACAAGAGTTGAAGGTGAGGCGGCAAGAGTTGAAGGTGAGGCTACAAGAGTTAAAGGTGAGGCTACAAGAGTTAAAGGTGAGGCGGCAAGAGTTGAAGGTGAGGCGACAAGAGTTGAAGGTGAGGCTACAAGAGTTAAAGGTGAGGCTACAAGAGTTAAAAGTGAGGCTACAAGACTTAAAGGTGAGGCTACAAGAGTTGAAGGTGAGGCTACAAGACTTATAGGTGAGGCGACAAGAGTTAAAGGTGAGGCGACAAGAGTTAAAGATGAAGTGGCAAGAGTTAAAGGTGAGGCGCCAAGTGTTAAAGGTGAGGCTACAAGACTTAAAGGTGAGGCTACAAGAGTTAAAGGTGAGGCTACAAGACTTAAAGGTGAGGCGACAAGAGTTAAAGGTGTGGCGACAAGAATTAAAGGTGAAGCGATCCTGTTCATCAAGTTTGAAAACTCACTGTTGTCTATCGGTTTCTTTAAAACCATTACTGATTAAACAAGCACTTAAAACTGGAGGTAATTCAATAAAGCGTTATTTGAAGTGTTTGTTTTTTTAACGGCGTGATTACATTAGAATAGATCAGATCAGAGAGAGCTAGTTTAGGTTAGGTAAGTGACGTTAGGCTAGGTAGAGAAGACGGTGACATGAGGGTAGGTAAGGAAGACACAGAGACGAACGCGACGGATATTGCGCGTATATAGCAACAATATATACGGGTATTTCAATAAATAGGTGGATGTATATATTTATTGGCGATGATAACTACCTCTTTAATACGTGCAGAAAACATATATGTAAAACATATTGCAATATTTGCTTTCAGGCTTTGGTCCTTTCCGATTGTGTGGAGTTAGAATGGGTATTGTAAAAGTTCCCACATTAGGTTAAGGGTTGGTGGGATACTGAAGTGAAGGGTCGGTTGGACATCTTATTTCCTTTTTAGTTTCACAAAAGTCATTGAGGAAAGACGAGAAGCCCCTGTTTGGCATAACTGAAATCATACAGTGTGATTGTGATAATATTGCAGAATTTATCTGACATTTGGAAATGGTTAACAGGGAGCCATTTTATTGTTCTTACAACAGGTTTACGTCGGGCATCTTTCAACTACATTAAGATGGGTAAAACGTGTCACAAAGGACGATTATTCTAATTCCAAGGGGGGTGTTGTGGTAGCCTAGTGGTTAAAGCGATTCCAAACATGGGTACATTGTCTGAATCCCGTTGCGGGCGTACCCCGCTGTGATATTGCTGGAATGTTGGTAAAAGCGGCGTAAAACCTAACTCACTAACTCACTCTAACCTATAAGTCCTTTGCCCAAAACGTACTGTCTTTATTCATGCCTCCTAACAAAATCATCGTCGGTTACACTTTTGTTCATGTTCTGATCATCAAAAATGCTTCTAGAAAACAACAGTTTACTAAAATCAGTCTTACAGCCTAAAGCATACATTTAGTTTTGTGTTTAGTCCCAAAAAATGCTAATGTTTAAATGACGACGTTAGTTCTCATTCGTACATGTTACATTTGTTAGTGTTTTGATCATGTTTCTTTACTTACACAGATGCTGTATTCCATACAACTGCTCAACGCAGTGCTAGATGACTCATCAACACAAGTGGGGCGGGGTGGGGTGGGGTGGGGGGTTGTGGGTGTGTGTGTGTGTGTAGCCTAGTGGTTAAAGCGTTGGCTCGTCACGCCAAAGACCCGGGTTGGATTCCCCACATGGGTACAATGTGTGAAGCCCATTTCTGGTGTCCCCCGCCGTGATGTTGCTGGAATATTGCTAAAAGCGGCGTCAAACCATACTCACTCATCAACACAAGTAGAAATTAGTGTTTATTTCGAACCGTACGATACATCGTAGAATAACGCTTAGTCTCTGATTATATAGAATTTTGATAGAAGCAAACAATTCCTTTCAAATTGAAAAGGAGCTCCAGTGAGTTGGAGATTCAGAACCTGAGGAAATCAAGACTGATTCAGTTCGGGCTTTAGCATTCCAGGCAGGGAAAATATTGTGGTTCAGGGACTGTGAGTCAGACTAGATATATCTGTCCCAGAGCTCCAGTATGTCTTCTATATCAGTTTTACATCCACGTAAAGGCTGTATTATTATAGATAAATGTCATCACCATTACCGGTTTTAAATAAGTGTTGCGTCATTGCTGTTCTGGCGTTTGAGTCATTACCAGAAATACTTACACAATGATCTGGATCTGGAAGCACATGGCGTCATTGTAGTCTCGAAATACTCATCAAATTTAGAACATTTTCTTTGAATTTTTTTTCGGTCTTTCATTCGTCTACTTTTAACTGGGTGTTATGGTATCCATTACACAGTTCCTCGGTATCATGGGAAAACCAGTCGTGATATGTGTGGGTCATGCTCCTGTCTAAAACAAAGGCTATGGAAATATTTTTTTACTGAACCCGCTCTAGGCGTCTCGCCAATGTATTAGTGTCCATGAAATTATTATTCAAAGATAGTATCCCTCGGCGACAGAACAGACAAAACATGTTTTGTCTACCAGACAGAGTTAAAGACATGACATGCCGTTGTTGTCGCCGCTCATTGTGATCTGGGGGTTGGATGTCGAGAGTCAAGCGTTTCATTCCATGTATCGTGACATATATGTCTGTCTGTGTGTCACGATCTGGAGTAGGAATTACAAGGTCGAGACCATAAGTGTCAAAGTATAGTCCTTGTAGGTTTCCTGCAGAATATTACAAACTGAGCATGGAAGACATGCGTGGGGAGATAACTCTATCCGTGTCTGCTGCCTGCGTACTACCACAACTTCCGGGGCGGTGGGGTAGCCTAGTGGTTAAAGCGTTGGCTCGTCACGCCAAAGACCCGGGTTCGATTCCCCACATGGGTACATTGTGTGAAGCCCATTTCTGGTGTCCCCCGCCGTGATGTTGCTGGAATATTGTTAACGCGGCGTAAAACCATACTCACTCACTCACTACAACTTCCACCACCACCATCATCGCTGCCGCTACTACTACTGCAGCTGCTGCTATTGTCTGTCATACAGACCATGAAACAAATACGTCCAAGAAAGCCCAATCAAGTCTAGATTACCTCAGTTTCTGAAAATGAAGAAGGTCTCTGGGCTTCTATTCATGATATTTTATTATTATAATTTAGGAACCGTTTTTTCTGCAAGATATGTTCATTCCAGAGACTAGATGTTAGCCTACTGCTTCTGCTGCTGCTGCTACTACTACTACTACTACTACTACTACTACTACTACTACTACTACTATTTTTAATCAACTGGTGATACTACATCAGCATCAACTGTTGCTGCTGCTGCTACTACTACTACTACTACTATTTTTAATCAACTGGTGATACTACATCAGCATCAACTGTTGCTGCTGCTACTACTACTACTACTACTACTATTTTTAATCAACTGGTGATACTGCATCAGCATCAACTGTTGCTGCTGCTACTACTACTAGTATTTTTACTCTCCTGGTAATACAACATCTACTGCTGCTGCTGCTGCTACTACTACTACTACCTCTATATATGATCCTTTCTGAACTTGTAAAACCATATGAATAATAGGTATCTTTAAATTATTCAGATTATTTCCCGATTCATGAAGCAATCCCAGCACTCCGATGAGCATAAGTCTATGTTAAATATACTTTAGGAGATAAATCACTTGTGGAGCTACGATGGAGAGAGGGCCATTTGGTTCAGAGATTTTACCCTGTGATCAAAAGATAATTTTAAGGAAAAGAACATAAATATTATATCCTATTCATTTTAAGCGGATTGATATATCTACATCGTTTTATGTTCCAGTGTTTGAGAAAAATAAAACACCCAAGGAGAACCTCGCAGTGGGTTTCCTGTTAACATACCTGAGATGACGTCACGCATACCTAATTACACACAGGTGGGAATCACAAATACCTGGACGGTTATTTTCGAACGTGTCTCTATTGTTAGCCGACCGGGTGGAAAATATAAAGTTTTAACACCCTACTTTTCCTTTCAGTTATCGCGTCAGCGGTGTATATTTATAACCCAGTCGCGCTACGCAGGGTGAGTTACTCCGTCCGGGCCTATTAGCGGTCAATGCAGAAATGTTCGCAAGCGATGTGTATCATTTCCCTTTTGTCACCGATAGCTTTACAATGTACGATCATGTTTCTACACATGGGTGCAAGGGTTACACCCTTGTAACTTATCATGATTAATATGTAGTGTGAAATATGAGTAAAAAGTAATACTTGTGATGCACGCAACGAAATACTTTTAGCATTATTTCAGTTGGATTAATCCTATAATTGGGTTTGCCCCACCCACGGTTTTCGCAGTAGGTAATGAAACACACTAAAAATAAACTTAATCTATTATACAGAGTTTTAAAGTATGCATTATTCGTGAAAACTAAATGTTTCAGAATTCGCAGGCAGTCAAATAAAAGCGTGGTAAGTAGGTTCAAAATGGGGTAAATTGGATAGCCTAATGATTAATGTGTTCGCTCGTCACGGCGGAGGCCCGGGTTCGAGTCTGCACATGGGTACATAGTGCGGAGCCCATTTCGGGTGTCTCGTTCACTTACTCTTACATATCTAGGGAGCCGTTAAAAATTCGGTGTTGCTCGCTGAAGTGGTGATTTTCTTCCCTGCACACTTAATTAACGCTGTAGTGTACATATGTTGGCGTTGGTGTTGATGTAGGTAACGTTGACGATGTTGGTGATGGTAGCGTCTGTACTGCTCTACAACTACTACGGGTGAGAGTTTTAGGTTGTGTGTGGGGGGGTTGTGTGTGTGTGTGTGTGGGGGGGGTGGTTATGCCGATCTTCTCGAGGCAAGGGTGTCTGTGAGACTTTGATTCAGGTTAATGGACGCTCTTGCCTCCAGACAGTGAGATTAGCACAATATGCTTTACATTCAACGTTTGAAATTTGTTACATGAGAACTATGATTGCGACGTTAATACTTATTGCGCTCTGTAGTGTCGTAACATATATGCCGCGATTTGTTAAAAGTGCTGATACGGCACAAATAGTGCCCGTTCTGAAACTGATGACAAATTATACAACATCCTGGGCATTGAGCTCTCTGGGCAGGTGAGACGTTCCGCCGGGGCAAAACGTGCACCTAGGCGTAATGGCAGGTCTTACACAAGGCTCCAATGTGACGTATGTCTTCAGTCGAATGCCCTTGTCAATTGGTATTAAATCTTCAATTTTAAA